AACGTCTGTTGATTCCATGAAGCTATGTTATGATAAGAGATCTACTGAAGTCAGCTTTGTACCAGGAGACAAGGTGTGGTTGTATAATCCCCAGGAAGTCCAAAGGAAAGTCTCCTAAGTTGTCTTCTCCATGGGAAGGCCCATATGGCATAGTGGATCATCTCTCAGATGTGACTTTCCAAATAAAATGTGGTCGGCGAGGTAAGCCAAAGGTGGTGTATGCCAACAGGGTTTGGCATTATCATGGTCCAGGACATTTCAGTGGGGACAAAGTGAATAATGGAACAAAAGACGCCGCTGAAGACATGTCACCTGAAAAAGCCACTGTCGAAGAAGTAATTCTACCCGGGTTTGAGAAGGGAAACAGTGGAGCCCTTAATGAAGATACTACCACTGATGTGACTATTACCAATAATAGGACATTTCCTGATGGAGCAGATGAACTTTACGTGAAGCAGAAGCCAACGAGATGGAGACCAGTATGGAAGAAGATACGTCCCGTAAAATTAAGAGACTTGAATTTTAATTTTGTGTTTGTAAATTCTGTCCATTTAATTAAGTTATTGTTAATTATCTATTGGTTTAATGTAAGTGGCTATTGTTCGAGACGAACAATACTAAGGAAGGGGTAGTGTTACGACAGTGGAATTCACGTGACGCTGGTAACACATAATGAGTATCTAGAACGTTCGTGAAGGATCGAGTGTTTACCAGACGCCCTCTATTTCATATATATAAGACCAGCGAGAAGTGATGGCATATATAAATAATTGAATTGCTGACAGGCAGAGATAGAGACGGACGATTGAGTCAAGTGCAGTACTAAGTAAAGTGCGTGAATCGTTTGTTGTGAATTATAGCTTGTGTTGAAGTTAAAGTGACTGTGGAAATTATGTGTATTGCAAAGTTGTATTGAGAAAGAATAAACAAGTTTTATTTAAGAAAGGACTTGTATCACCGAAGTTCTTCAGAAAGAATTTTTACGGGTAATTAACCAACGAACACAGAGGTGTAACAATATATTTACTTGCCTGTCTGTAAGTAAGGATATTGTTTAGTTTGACAGGTTCTTCTTATGAACTATTTAATTTCTAAACACTATTGCTTATGAAAAATCCGTATGGGACCTGCAAAGAAGGTACAATTTTACACTGATGTAAGGTTTGATATTGTTGAATGAAAAGTGATTTGAGGTTCCGTAGAAAAATTGTTGGCCAAATTTACCGTGTTAGTGAAAGCACCTATAGCCTATTGTGTAGCTTCTCGCTTAAAAACCAACCAATAAATTTTTTGTTGTGAATATTTATATATTGTATTGCTCATTAACGATAGTTTCAAGTTTGGCCAGGCACATATTTCTTTACTGTGTTTTAGTAAGTTATCAACATTGTATTTCAATTGTTGAAAGTCACACTTTAGGTTTCTGTGGTTGTCGTCGTATAATTTTTGGGGGGTTCATCCATGGTTGTGGTGGAAGTTACTTTGGACCATTACAATACCTCGATTAAAAATCAGACCACCCCAAAAGTGTAAATACTGGTGTCATAGGCTGCTGTGTCTCCAGAATTAACAAGATTTGTAATACATAAGATGCTAAGAAGAATGAATGTGTCAAAGATCTTTCTCAAAATGGAGAGAATATATAGATACAGCATAAAGTGAGAACAGTCTTCAAAACCCACAACACAATATAAATGCTGTTAGTACACACCACATTAAATAAAGAACAAGTAAGAATTTCGGAGCATAATAGACATAGACTGTACAATGACTGAATTAATCACGAATTTCACCCTTCCATCACCAGTAGAAAATATATCTTTATTAGATATATTCCCATAATATTTTTGCCTACATTCCCATGAAGTATCTACATGTAGTTATGCCATTTTCACTGATGTCTGAAAGTCGTAAACCTAACCTAATCCTTTTACACCGACAAAGGCTGCACGTATTACGACCTTTATCAATAAGTCTTGAGCTGGCATGTGCACATGGAAATTAGTTTATTTAAATAGGTGACACATAAATCTGTACACCAGGCTACTGGGAATGCTAGCTTTAATAGTGTCAAGGTTATGCCTAGTGGAAATCCTAAGTTACACAGTGTCAAGGGTACAATTGTATATAAACATAGCAGGGATCGTAGTTTACAAAAAGCCACAGTTACAGGTATGTACGGACATAGCAGGAATCTTAGCTCATACAATGTCAAGGTTACAGGTGTTCATAAACAAAACAAACACTAGCTTAATCAGCATCAGGTTAACAGTTGTTGTATTTTTAAATTATTTGCCCAAATTAATTTGCATGTTATCATGCATTAAATAGTCTGTCATAAATTGAAATAAAAACCTGCCATTTTTTGACCTCCTTTCAAAAAAACTTCACATGGAAGGGGTTAAACATTGATAAAGAAGCAAGTACTTAGAATGAGTGTAAAACTTGGCTTAAACCAGTAAATATTTTAGCTACAATTACAACATATACAGAAAAAGCTTGCAACCTAAAAAGATGTTTCTTAATAAATTTATTGGAAGTACAATGCTGAAACAAAGTATTTGTAAGCTTTTCTTATTCAAAACATTCAATTTGCGCTACAAGAACTGGAAAAGTTTGAAAAAAATATTAAATCTTTCTCCTACAGAAAATACTTAAAAATAATTTTCAAATATATTAATAAAATAAAACTCATGAGAATAATGGAAAAATATATATTTTTTTCAAAAAGTACAGTCAAAATTTCAATTTTGAAACTACATATTAAGGTCTATACATACTGTATATACATGTGTTACATTCTAGCTGGTGTATAATTACACACTCACACTTCTACTCCTACACTGATACATCTAGTTGGTGTATAATTACACATTCACACTTCTACTCCTACACTGATAAATCTAGCTGGTGTATAATTACACATTCACACTTCTACTCCTACACTGATAAATCTAGTTGGTGTATAATTACACATTCACACTTCTACTACTACACTGATAAATCTAGTTGGTGTATAATTACACATTCACACTTCTACTCCTACACTGATAAATCTAGTTGGTGTATAATTACACATTCACACTTCTACTCCTACACTGATAAATCTAGCTGGTGTATAATTACACATTCACACTTCTACTCCTACACTGATAAATCTAGCTGGTGTATAATTACACATTTGATACAGAAAACTGCTGGCTGTTCAACTGCACGGTGAGAGTGAAACACTTTTCATACTTAAAAGTATCAGTCTTGATATTATTTTACATTAAATGATGTCTTTAGAAACAATTTAATGTGAATTTAATAATTAAAAGTGAAGAAACTAAGTTATTTTTATTGTACTATTATCTTTTCTGTATCATACAGCAAGATTTTAATGCATCCTACAATACAAGTTTACACAACCAGTAACTATTGTGAACACATTTATCATAATATACTTAAATAATATTGAAGGCACTTGTTGTAATAGCACAAAACTTTTAACCACTTAATTCTTGTTTTCACGACCATATATAACATATATAACTGCAAAGAAAAGCAACGTTATTGTATACACTTTTTTAATAAATTATCTTTTGTTGCATGAGAATCCATTTGGTGCAGTCAATGTGCAAATAGAATTCATTTCCTTGTTCTTACTCATACAGAACAACCTGGAGAATATATGTGTGTATGTGTTCAAAGGATTAAACAACATTTCTCAACAAGTTACTTTAAATACAGGTTTGTAATTGTTAGTTATAATTACATTTGAAAGACAGATTTTACACTGGGCTTCATATTAGCAAAATCAGATCTTTATCCATTTCTGGTAGAGGTCTTGTCACAGTTTTGTTCATCACTATTATCTCCACAGTTATCTAATCCATCACACACACCAGAGTATAATATACAATGTCCATTTTCACATTGGTATTCATCCTGTGTGCATGGCAATGCACACCCATTTGGTTCATCACTGTGGTCAGTGCAATCATTATACTTATCACAGAAGTGACTGGCTGGGATGCACATACCATTCATACACGTGAATTCAGTATTGGAACATCCTGGAAAAGAAAGAACAAAGTGAAGACAGGGAAAGGTAGTCAAATACTCTATATACATATACATTAGGAAATTACAGTCAAATAAAAGCAAATTTTAATAAATTAAATATATAATCCGCAATAAAGTAACAAGTTCAAGGACCTTTACAATATATATACACACACCACCCACCACAAAAAGTAATTGTTAAGTATTTCAGTCATGCTAAGAGCCACTCAACAATAACATACAATAAATCCACATTTTTATTCTTTAAGTTACATAACATTTTTAATTGTGAATAGTAGTGTGATTAATTCTAAACACTTTAATGTAGAATATCCTGCTTGCAAAATAAAATTGGCAACAACATAATTCATGTCTGTTCTCCCATCATTTAAAAGTTACAGTTGAGCTTTCCTGCATGCGTAGCTTTTCAAATGCAGCATGGGAAGCGGCTGCCGTAAACAGGAGACAGATGAATGCTCGGACAGACACCAGGGTTTGCAACATATACAAGATAATACTTATTAAAAAAAAGGAATGGATTGAATGAGATATTTAGTCACCTAAATCAGTTACTTTGCACTACAAGAACAGGAGAAGTTAAAAAATACATATTATTAAATCTTTCACCCACTGAAAATACTTAAAAATAATATCAAAATGGTGTGTGTGTGGCTGCTTGTTATATATATCTTGACCATGCAACTACACATATGGACAAAACCATAGATAATTTTGATATTTGCCCAAAGAAAAAATGACATTTTGTACACAACTAATAGTGAACAACATAATCTAAAATGAAGACTGATATGTCAAAATCTTCAACCAACATATTCTGACACATGTCGAATGTTTTTGTTATTGGATCTTAATTTTATTATGGCTGTTTGTGATTAAGACTGTAGGTTTACTGGAAATAAGTTTTATGGTGATTATTTAGTGAAACAAACAACTTCTAGTACAGCAACAAGTTTTAGTTCAAACATTTTTAGTTATTTATCTGTCCTGTATTTTTTGTGCAAAAACATTTTAACCAGTACTGTAATAACTTTAATAACTGTAAGATTGCAGATCAATCAATCTTAAGAGACTTACAGACAATGTAATGTTTAAAATCCAAATATTGGGATTGTTTCATCTTGAATGATGTGATGTTCATTGTAAAATAGATCATAAGGTATCATATGAGTCTTAACTCTGTGTGTGTGTGTGTGTGTGTGTGTGTGTGTGTGTGTGTGTGTGTGTGTGTGTGTGTGTGTGTGTGTGTGTGTGTGTGTGTGTGTGTGTGTGTGAGAGAGAGAGAG